TTTAGCTTACATTACTTTAGGTATTTTAACGTGTATTGTATTTGTTATTTTGTAATTATGTAGTTTTACATTTAATACTTTTACATTTAATATTTTAGGGTGACTTTTACCATCTGGCTGGGGACTGCAGGTGAAAAATAGCCTTCTGGCTCATTCTGGCATATTTACAGAAATGTTATTAATATGCACTGTCTCTGTAATAAATAAAGGTTTCAAATCAAATATACAGAACGACACATATATGCTGTTGTTCAATTTAAAGATTTTCTTTCAACTTGTTAAATTTGTTTAAACATGGAACAGACAACCTTTTTACTTAGAATGTAAACTGTAATTGAGTAACTCGAGAATCAAAACCAGTATAGAAGTATTGGGGTGTTTGTAAAAATGCTGGTGTTGGTATTGAGACACCACTTTAGACAAAAGAAAATAAGTAATATTACTTTAATTGATTTATAGAACTGTGTCAATTTAAAGTCACATAAACACCTAGCGTGTGACATTCTTTTGGACATATGATAAATGTGCTGAAGTAACGATGTAAAATGATGTGTAAAAATGGTTTGGAAGACCCACAATTAACTTCTGCAACTAGAGTTTCCTTTTTTTTTAAATGCATGAAAATAGAGAAATCATACTGACCTTTTGGGCAGAGCAGCCAACTTTGGGTCTTTATGATCTCAGTTCCCTCAGCCTGAGAGAGAAATTTGTTCAATTATGTTCACAGTAACCTTCAGTTTATTAGGAAAAGTGTAGTGTCTAAGAGTGGGGGCCTCTTCTCAGGAATGCACAGATGTGTTACGTCTCTCTTAGTCTCCAGCTTCAGAGCTCAGCACATTACCATATTAGGGAAAGGAATGTTTAAGGTATACCGTGACAAAATTTATGGTGCCTCTGTTGGACTACACCATGAAACCTAAAGGGCCTTGTACGCCCCTACTTAGCCTTCGTCTTGATCTTTTTACTTGGTGATTCATTTGGCTTAGAAGGCCACAATTTGGTTTTTTGGCTGTAATCTCCTGGACTGCAAAATAAAGATTATTGCTGTTCAACCAGCCTGTTTCAGAGTTTCTCTCTTCAGGAGCAGCAACACAGTTTGCAGAAACAAGATGACCTGGTTTTTACACCTCAGAAGTTTTACATTCAAGAACCAACTTTCCATGAAATGCATGTTATTTTTTTTCACATTTTTTAATGTGTTAAATGCATGATGTTGATGAGAAATTAACTGTTGCTTGTCATAAACTGTGTGACTCTGAAACATTTCAGGAAAGAATCACAGCGGTCCTGCTGGCAGAGAGGTCAGTAATAGCAAGGTGGTAGGGGCCATGTTTTAAAATAAAAACAAATTTTACAAATGTCAAATCTCTTGTGCGAGTTAGCTCACTGTGGCTAACGGATGAAATATGATTTAGGTGAAAACCAAACATTCTGTTCAATTCAATTCAGTTTATTTATATAGTGCCAAGTCACAACATATGTTGTCTGTTGTTCTGTCAGTTTTATAGCATAATTTTATGATTTGTAAATGATCCCTAAATCCTTGTGTTTTTTCTGGTGTTTTCCTCTCCGTTCCTTGTTCACACTAGAAAAAACACTCAGCACAACACCTGCTGCATACAGGGCACCAGTGTTAATGTGAATCTAGGGATGTGGTTGGTTGAATTTAGAAAACGGATAACAAAGAAGCTGGTTTTGCAACGTTGAAGAGTTCAGTTGTATTAATGGAGCATGCTTTATCTTACCTCTCCCTGGGCTGCCACCTTATCATGGTAGAGAGGTTTGAGTGTCCCAATGATCCTAGGAGCTTTGTTGTCGGGGGCTTCATGACCCCAGTAGGGTCACCCAAGGCAAACAGGTCCTAGGTGAGGGATCAGACAAAGTGCATCCCAAAGACCTCTATGATGAGTTACAACAATGGACCTAGTGTTCCCTCGCCTGGACACAGGTCACCGGGACCCACTCTGGAGCCAGGCCTGGAGGCGGGGCACGTTGGCGAGCACCTGGTGGCCGGGCTTTCACCCATAGAGTCCAGCTGGGCACAGCCCAAAGAGGAAACATGGGCCCCCATCCCAATGGGCTGTGGGAGGGGCCGTAGAGGTCAGGTGCAATGTGTGCTGGGCAGTGGTCAAAGGCAAGGACCTTGGCGGTCCGATCCTCTGCTACAGAATCTGGCTGTAGGGATGAGCTGGTGTGTGAGGTTGAGAGGTTCAAACTAGATATCGTTGGACTCACCTCAACGCATCGCTCTGGCTCTGGAACCAGTCTCCTCCAGAGGGGTTGGACACTCTTCCACTCTGGAGTTGTCCATGCTGAGAGGCGCTGAGCAGGAGTGCGCATACTTATTACCCCCCATCTTGGTGCCTGTACGTTGGGGTTCACCCCGGTGAACGAGAGGGTAGCCTCCCTCCGCCTACGTGTGGGGGCGGTTTCTGACTGTTGCTTGTGCCTATGAGCCTAACAGCAGCTCAGATTACCCACCAGGAGTCCTTGATCCTGGAGAGCGCTCCTAACGAGGACTCCCTTGTTCTGCTCGGGGACTTCAACGCTCACATGGGTAATGACAGTGAGATCTGGAGGAGTGTGGTTGGGAGGAACGGCCCCCCCGATCTGAATCCAAGCGGTGTTTTGTTATTGGACTTCTGTGCTCATCATGGATTGTCCATAACAAACACCATGTTCAAACATGAGGGTGTCCATATGTGCTCTTGGCACCAGGACACCGTAGGGTGCTAAGTTTTATACTTTTAGAAGACAAAGTTTCAGTGAGACTGATCGGGTATTGACTTTGTTGCCATCTCATATGATCTGCGGCCGCATGTCTTGGACTGTCAGGTGAAGAGAGGGGCAGAGCTGTTTAACTGACCACTACCTGGTAGTGAGTTGGTTCCGATGCTGGGGGAGGATGCCGGTCAGGCCTGGCAGACCCATGTTCGGTGCCTCCATTGTCGAGGCGGCTTACCGGAGTTGTGGCCACAACTGGGAGATTGATAGGTGGATTGGTGCTGCATCTGCAGTGATGCGGGTGCTGTACCGCACATTGAGAGTTGCCAGTTGAGGTGTCTCAGGCATCTGGTTATAATTTTAGGAGGTTAGGATGCCTCTCTGGTGATGTGTTCCAGGCATGACCCAGAGGAAGACCCAGGACACGATGGAAGGACTATGTTCCTCAGCTGGCCTGAGAACACCTTGGGATTCCCCCAGAGGAGCTGGTCCAAGTGGCTGGGGAGAAGGGAGTCTGGGTCTCTCTGCTTAGGCTGCTGCCCCCACATCCCGACCCCGGATAAGAGGAAGAAAATGAACGGATGGAAGAACAAGCTTTTTTGTACTTTTCTATGTAGACCTTCTGTTTATCTAGAGATGCTAATAATGTTTTTGTGAGCTGACCACCATGGTTAAATTTCAGTAAGAGGATATTACACAACCAATGGGAGGCAGTGCGATCTTTCAGGGTAAATATGTGGGATTTTTTTACAGCTATTAATGAGCTGGCTAGTAGGTCCCTGTGATCACAGGGTCCATGGGTTAACCAGGACTTTTTCTATTAGCTGTGATTAGACCATGTCCAGCCCACAAAAATTAGACATGTTACTTTTATAATGCAAGCATGAAAACAAAAAGTAGCAGGTGTGCAGTGAGCATAATTACAAATATTATTAAAACTGCATCTGAAGTGTGATCCTAAGTGAAAGCATCCATCCATCCATCCATTATCTATACCCACTTCTTCCTTTCGGGGTCACTGATGCCCATATCCAGCAGTCACAGTGAGAGGGGCGGGGTATACCCTGGACAGGTCGCAAGTCCATCACAGGGACACATAGAGACAAACAACCTTTCACTCTCTTACACCTAGGGACCATTCAGGGGATTCTGATGTTATCAGTCCATGAAATGGATGTTAATAGGCATTATCAGTCCCATACAATGGTTTCAGAATGTCCCTACTGTGCCTTCTAGCCTTCATACTGTCCCGACAGTGCCCCCTAGTGGGTTAATATATCAATGACAATGAATGTGTAAATAATCATTTAAGCAAAACATATTTTAATAAACTTTTTGTCCTTGCCTGGTAGTGTTCCTTGCTCTTGCTGTCTGTTGGTCTCAAACCCTGGTCTCTCACTCAGTGGTCCGATGCTCTACCCATTGCCATATTAGAAGGCCACAATATACATCCGTCGGAGGGCGGTGTCTTTAAAACTGACCATGACATTTTCTCTAAGGTTAAACTTAGTGGCTTTTTGCCTCATGTTATCCTGTTTTTTTATGCCTCGTATTAACAAGATAGTGCTTTTATTGCCTCATATTAACCTTAGTGGCTTCATGCCTCATTTTAACCAGCTGACAATCGGAAGCCATTCTATGGGACGGGGGAACCTGCTAAGGCCTATTAACGTCCATTTCATGGATGATAACATCCAAAGCGGGTGGACAATTTAGGGTTACCAATTAACCTAACAGTCATGTTTTTGGTGTGTGGCAGGAAGCCGGAGTACCCGGAGAGAACCCATGCATGCACGGAGAGAACATGCAAACTCTACCCAGAAAGGTTCCCCATTCCTCGAGAGGCATGAGCTCTACCAACTGAGCAACCACGCCACCCTGTTAAAATGCTAAAGAGGTAAATATTGTCATCTTGTTTAATCACCAACCTTTACTGTAAAGGATCGTTTTTCCACAACAGTGTGGCCTTTTTTTGGCACGTGCACCTGTTGATCACAACAAGGAGTCTGTGAAGGCACAGCCTTAGCAGTCAGAACCACGTCCACATCCCCTAGAAAAGATAAGCAATAAGCCATTTATTTCAGCCTCTTTAAATAATTTAAGCATTTTATACTGAGGCAGAGCTGAAATGGAGATACAGTATTGTAAAGTAGGTCAGACAGATATTTCTTCACTTTGCTTGTTAAAATTCTGACACTCACCAATAACTGAAGGAGTGAAAATCCATTGGATGCTCTTTTTATTGCCGGCACAAAGACAAAATGTAAACTGGTCACTATCCTTGGCAATGTGGGTGAAGGCCAAAGAGGCAGATGGAGTCATTTTGACCTGATTATGACAAACAAGACAACATTAACTGAAAGTTCAGCAAAAGTGTTGCTACAAATATAAACAGTTTTGCATTTGGATTAAGTAATTTAAAGTGTCAAAGTCGTTAAGTCACCCCATGAATAGTGGGAGATCATGTGTATATGTGTGTTTGTTTTAATTGACTAAATAAAACAATGAATTTAAAATATGTGCCTCCTAAGTCTCTTTTTTGGTCTCAGGAACTTGTTTCTTTTCTCCAAGAGTCAACGATCAATCAAATCAAATCTAAATGTTATTTATATAGCACCTTACACACCCCTAGGCTGCACAACAAAATAAAAATACAGTAATATAAAAGTGTGCAAACAATCCCCACTTACAAAAGAAGCAGAAAAAAGAAACACAAAATTAAAACAGAAATAGTTAAAGAAAAAATAATAATGAAAGAGAGAGACTGGACTGCATGTGCTCTCTGGAGTTAAAAGCTAAACCACGAAGATAAGTTTTAAAATGAGATTCAAATTCATTAAGTGTTATGGCAGATCTCACAAAAAAGGAGCACGTTCCAGAGTTTAGGAGCTACAGCTGAGAATGCTCTGTCCTCTTTAGTCACCAGCCAAGTCCTAGGAACCAACAAGAGCACCTGATTTCTACAGGATGATAACTGTATAGGAGCTCAGAAAGGTAAACAGGTGCCAGACTATTGAAATTTTTAAAAACCAAGAGTAAAACTTTAGAAACAATCCTAAAGGAAACAGGCAACCAATGAAAAGAATGCAATACAGGGGTAATGTGCTCACATCCTCTTGTCCCCATTAACAAATGAGCCGTGGAATTTTGGATCAGTTGAAGACGGTGGACCAGACTGGTCAATTCCAAATAAAGGAATGAATAACCCTCTCAAGGGTGTCAAGCTGAAGATAAGGCTTGATTTGGTTAATAAGTCTTAAATGATAAATCCAGACCAGACCACTGCACTGACTTGTCTGTCAAATTTGGAGTTATTGTCTAAAATAACCCCAAGATTCCTAATAAAGTGACAATCTGAGTCCAAGGAGCCAACAGCACTGTCAAATCCTACCAATAGGTCAGTTTTGCTGAACCCAATGACCTCTGTTTTATTTTCATTTAGACAAAGAAAGTTTAGCTCCATTCATCTTTTAACATTAAACAATTCTGCAGATTCTCCATACACTAAGCTCCACCAGATATTTAAGGTAAATAAATCTGGATGTCATCTGTATAAAAATGAAATGACACATTACATTTCTTGAAAACGGACCCCCAGCGGAAGCAAAGAGAAAATAAAATGGGTCCCAGTATGGAGCCTTGAGGTACCCCACATTTCAGAGGAGCCTCTGTGGAAGAAAATTCTCCAATTTGGACAGAAAAACTCCTATCAGACAACAGAAGAGAGGAGAAAACCTCAACAGTACTGGGGCATGTAAGACAAACAAGTACACACATATATGTATGGTACTATTATCTTTATGGGGATTTTGCATTGATTTCTGTTCATTTCTACAGCCTAATCCTGACCCCTTACCCTAAACGTAAACTAAACTCAATTCCCATCTTAGTCCTAAACCTAATTACCAACCCACCAACAGCATTACCCCCCATGGGAACTAGGCTCAGGTTCGCAGTTAGTCCCTACAAGTAGGTGTGTATGTTAAAAATTGTCCCCACATGGTAGAGAATACCCACTCACACACTCACAAACTTGTATTTCTATCTCATTAGGACCATGTATTGACTTCCACTCATTTTCTGTCATTTCTGTAGCCTGACCCTAAACCTTCATCTAACCACCAATACAAAAAATGGCTTTCTACTATATTTGGACAGGGTCCTATGAACTGTAGGAATACCCACAAACCCACATTTTGCCTTTCACACCCAAGTTTTAAACTAAAACATTCCATGATGTGAAATGAGTTGTAGGAATTTTGGCCAAACATCAAAATTAGCGTTACAAGCTCATGTACTATCATGAAATGTCATGCTCAGTTTTGTGAATGACTCTCAGTTACCACCACATCCTATCTTAGCTCAATACCTGTAAACCTCACTTCAGTGTAACCTTTTCTGTTAGCTGTGGCGAACTTTCTGTTCAGTTTAGGAAATGGAAGTGACTAGAACAATCTTTTTGACATAGCGAAGAGACAAGGTTTTTTGACATAGCGAAGAAACAAGGTAGTTTACACAACGTATTTTCATTCACCTTGATGGAGCTGTGCAGGTAGTTGATAACAGTTGCCTTCAGTACGACGCTCTCTCCCAACACCAGAGAGCTGGGCAGGGTGAAATCAAGTGAAAATGGTCGAAAGACCCTGAATGATGTGCGAGAAGCCAAACCAAAAGAGTGAGGAGACARACAGTAAATCTCTGTCTCCCAGGTGTTTATGGTCTCTGGTGCCTTGTAGGTCACACACTTTTCTCCATGCTCTCTGCAACAGCACATACACATAAACACATGGTGTCATGCAGAGAGTCAACTTTGTCACCTTTTTATCCAAATCACTAACAAGTAAACAACAATCCTTGTCAGCAGAGTTGTGTGTTTCCAGTCATGGGGAACAAAACATCCAACTTGTTTAATATCAAGGGTTGAAGGTATTCAAASCAATCTTTGGAATTATCACATTTATTTGGAACAAAAACTCACCCAACTTCCACCAGGTCAAATATCCAGGTTGCTGTAGAAAGTGTTTGGGCCGGCTCAAGATGTTCATTATGATTGCACGAATATGGGATTCTTCCAGGGTCAGGAATATCATCCCAATCCTGTGATTTTTTCTCTTGATTCTTCTCTTTGTTTTGTCTCAACCAGAAAGCTGAAAGTATAAAGTAAAGTTTAAAAAGTGTTTTAGTTTGTGATATTTGAAAAAGCAAGTAGGGGGCCAAAAACCTTGATGGTATCTTTTCCTTTTCAACCTGAGACCTACAGGATTTTGGGTAACCAAGTTTGAGATCAGCTGCAGTCCTTCATTCTGTGCAAAATGATATTCAAACAGCAAAACAGTTCAGTATAGGAAAACAACAGGACTACCAAAACTATCCTAATTTAAACTTTAAGGAATATGTAATGCCTATCACTTCAAAAACTGTGTAGGCATCATATTTTTCTTGATTTGTTACAGTTAAAACAGTATCTCTCTTTGGCAGAAACATCTCTGACAGAAAGACACACAATCACACAGACAGGCATATCATTCTAATCCATTTTAGCCTTTTGATAGCAGGTATTAGTGATGTTGGGCTTCTTGAGGCTAATTATGTGCAAAATGATTTTATGTCACTGGTCTCAAAACTGACCTTTTCTTCCAGGATCTGTTCTGAAAACCTTGAGAGGACGTTCGGTTCAGTGACACTCACTCCACATAGAGAATTGGGGTCAGCCTTTAGACACAGTTTGGTCTCTTCTCCGGGCAAAGCTTTGGATGGTGCAAACTTTGCACTTACCTGAAATGCACAAAACACACACCAGAAATGCATCAATTCAAATAACTGTGATCAAGAGTTTTATTTTCTAATAGAATAGAATAGAATAGAATAGAATAGAATAGAATAGAATAGAATAGAATAGAATAGAATTCAACTTTATTGTCATTGCACATGTCACAAGTACAAGGCAACGAAATGCAGTTTGCATCCATCCAGAAGTGCTTGGCATGAAATAGAAATGTATACAGTATATTATATTACAAATGTACAGTATTTCTTTTAATATGTTATAGGTGTAAGTACAATTATATACAGGTTATGAATGTACAGGACATGAATTTACTGACTTTAATTTACAGAAATATGAATTTACATCTTATGATCATGTTCTAAATATGGTGGCATATAAATTGATTATGTAATTATTAACAAGAGTAGATTATTTGTACAGTGTTGGGCAAAACAGTGCAGATAGTGTTGTTAGGTCCATGGATTTTGGGTATTTTGCTGATGTCAGGAGACAGAGTTCAGCTGTAGGAAAGAAGCTTTTCCGGTACCTGGTCTCTTAGTCCAGAGGCTCCTGTAGCGCCTCCTAGAGGGCAGGAGGGTGAATAGTCTGTGAGCTGGGTGACTAGAGTCTTTGATGATTTTCCCAGCCCTTTTCAGACACCACTTTTTGTAGATGTCCTCTATGGCAAGAAGTGGTGCTCCGATGACGCGCTGGGCGGCTTTCACCACCCTCTGTAGCGCTTTCCGGTCTGATGCCGAGCAGTTCCCGTACCAGACTGTTGCTGCATTTCCATTGACCATGAAAATGTGCAAATTGGAATTTCGAAAATAAATTTGCTCAAAGGAAAACCGTCAATTTCAAAAAAGATTACTTTTTTCGACAAAATGTTTTTGCGCTAGGATGAGGTGGTTTTTCGGCCATATTGAAATTGGTGTTTTTCACAAAACTGCAATGGAAACCCTTTTTTCGCATCACAGGAGTCACGTGATCAACAACCGGCTGTTTCTACAAGCAAAAAAGACGACGACAAAGAAGATAACAGGAAGCAGAAGTAGTAGTAAAATCACTGAAGTAGTAAAATAATGTAGTAAACTCACCGACTACTATTTCCCAAAAACACAGCATACGTAGCCGCTCCCAAGTAGGGACTTGTCTCTGGAAAGCCTCGATAAAAGACGCCGACGTCTCCTCTGATGATGAGCGCTAGTGTCGTGGTAGCAACATGCTATGTGTTTACATCCATCGCTGCCATGTTTGTAATGACTTATCATGAGAACAAACGTATTCACGTGTGACTTTAATAGCATTTCTTACTTAATGGAAACACTGCAGTTGCGAAACTGTGTTTTTTCAACATTAACAGAATATCGACAAAGTTTTGTGCACATTTGCAATGGAAACGCAGCTTGTGATGCAGTTGGTCAGGATGCTCTCAATGGTGCAGCAGTAAAAATTAATCAGGATGTCTGAGGACAGGTGGTTCTTCCTCAGCGACCTCAGGAAGAAGAGGCGCTGGTGAGCTTTCTTGACCAACATGGAACAGCCGGTCGTCCAGGTGAGATCCTTGGAGATGTGGATGCCCAGGAACTTGAAAGTGTTCACATGCTCCACTGCCATACCCTTGATGTGGATGGGTGTATGTGGGTCAACGTTCCTCCTGAAGTCCAGGATGAACTCCTTGGTCTTCTCGGCGTTGAGCTGCAGGTTGTTGGTGTCGTACCACTCAGCCAGATGATTCACCTCCTCCCTATAGGCAGTCTCATCATTGTCTTTGATGAGGCCGATCACCGTGGTGTCATCTGCAATCTTAATGATGATGTTGGAACCGTCGACGGGTTTGCAGTCGTCGGTGAGTAGGGAGTAGAGGAAGGGACTCATCACACTGCCATGTGGTACACCAGTGTTTATGGTGATGGTAGATGAGCACTGGTTGTCTAGCCTAATGTTGTTGTTGCAACTAAAGTAAACCAATGTATGCAGTAATCATTTTTTTGTTTAACCTGCATTTAAACAGGAAGTCTAATTGAGATTAAAAACCTTTTCAAAAAGTACCTGCTCAAGGTTGGCAGCAGCAAATACAACACATAATGTACTTCCCACATGAAAGTAAAACAACCAAATAATAACATAAAATAGAAATACATTAAAAAATTAGCTAATTAATTGTATGTATTCCCCTTAAGGTAAAATTATCTAGTAGCAATACATAAAACAGCCCAATGTACCCAGACATACCTAGTATTTACAGAATACTATTTGCTCACGCAGCTGTGAGTGCACTGGACAAACTAACTGTATGTGTATACAGAAATATTAACGTATCTGATTAACCAGATGCAAACATTACAGATTATTTTAAAAAGGCTTTTTCCTCCTCTAACTTTGGTGAGTAAACAACTAGCCCACTACTGTTGTTGTTGTTTATATGCTTCTCATAGGGCTCTACATTAACTTCTTTTAGCCTATTGCACTGGTGCTGCAGAGGTTGCTGGTTTTTTTGAGGAGATAGGTTATAGTGCCAGCATAAAGTCTGTTACAATCTCTTAAAAACCAACAGTAGTGCCTATCATTACTTAAACACTGGCAAAAGAAAGAACTGAAAGTTTTGTTCAGTTCTATTGAACAATTGTCAATATTCAGTGTGTTTTTAATTTAAAAAATACATTTTATCTGTGATATGTATTGTATTCAAGCCAGCCAAAATTGAAAAGATGGCATTTATTTCTTTACTACAAACACTGCTTTATGCTAAAGCACTGTGTAGGTAGAAGACCTCAAATTATTTTTAGGTATTTGAATTGCTTGGAAAAGTTATTTAGCCTTAAAAATGCTATTGAGACTAGTTTTGAAGGTGGAAAAAAATGTGAAAAAATGACTATATTATTTGATCTATTATAACAGCTCTATGATACATTTACCTCCCGTTAATCTAATAAAATAAGTCTTTTCCTTTCATCTCTTGTAGGCACCTGCTTCGGATGTTATCATCCATGAAACGGTCGTTATTAGGCGTTATCAGTCCAACAGAATGGCTTCAGAATGTCCCGCCTGTGCCAGTTAGCAGGTTCCCCGTCCCATAGAATGGCTTCTGATTGTCAGCTGGTTAGTAATCTGGTTAATATGAGGCATAAAACCACCAAGGTTAACCTTAGAGCAGATGGCATTGTTAGAATTAACCTCCGACGAACAAGTACTGTGGCCTCTCAATAGGGCAATGGGTAGAGTGATGGACCACAGAATGGGATACCAGGGTTCAAGCCTGACACTGACACAAAACATTTATTACAATATGTTTTGGTTATTTCCACATTCATTATCATTAATATATTAACCCACTAGGGGGCACTGTCAGGACAGGCTGAAGCCTAGAAGGCACAGTAGGGACCCTCTGAAGCCATTGTATGGGACTGATAACRCCTAATAACGTCCATTTCATGGATTGACAACATCAGAATCCCCCTGATTTTTGTTCTACGTTAAAACAAATACATGTCTATTTTTGTTCTAACTATAACTTCAATGTCAAATGGAAAACCCTTTTGATGATTCAGCACAGTCTTGGAGTGGAATTTTTTTTTTTAACTTTTTGAATAATTTATCAGGAACAGATTTAAGGGCATTTCAGTTTATTTCTGTGGAACATTGATTTGACATACAAGTAATTTGTGTTAAGAGCTCCATCTCAGAACGAATTAAACTTGTAATTCAAGGCACCACTAAACTATTTACAAGTACAAATTAAAATGTATATTGTTTTCAGAGTGATTTTACAGAACCTTGTAACTCTCAGAAACGTGTATAAAACCACTCTGCTACAAATTCTACCCCACCTGTAAAGACTTGAGCATAAAAATACAATAAAGTGAGTGGTGAGTTCTTAAGTACAGAAATGTAGTTTATCTGTGGTGAACACAAAAGATTTTTAAACTGATATAAACTAATTTTTAGTCCTAAAATCTCAAACATTAAACTGAGATATGGTCACAAGTGTGCTGGTTTCTCCACTTGAGTTTCTTCAACTGCCTCCATTGCTGGTTCTGTTTGAAATGAAGGTGGAGCTCAGCTCACGACCGTTAATGAAGATGATGTAATTCCAACTATATCCCAGGTGTGAGCTACAACTGTGATTGGTTCCCCTTGAGGAACATAGTGTGGCCAATTGCATTTCAAGAAAAAAAGCCCAGCAACAGCTGATTACAAAACTATGCTGAACCAAAAGTAACAAGTAACTAAAAACTTAGAAATGTAGTGGAGTCAAAAGTACAATATTTGTTTTTGAAATGTAGTAGAGTGAAAGTCACAAGTACCCCAAAAAATAATTACTCAAGTAATGATACTCGAAATGTACATAAGTACAGTAATCACATAAATGTACTCCACTACTGTCTACCATTGTTCACCACCCAGGAGCTTCAAGCTGACAAGGCTCGCTTTCATAACAATTTTTGTCAAAAGTTGCACAAAGTTCAAAATTTTCAACTCCAGTGTTGAACGCTCAAAACGCGCCGCTCTAATCGCACTAGATGCACCGCAGCA